AACAATTGAAACAAAAGAACCAACATTTGTTGAATGAACACTTGTTGTGTATCAGGTACTGAGTTGGGCTTTATTCTTGTTAACTCATTTCTTTCTTACACAAACCCTTCCAAGCAGGTGTAGTATTTATTTGCTACTGAATCTCAAAGGGGTTAAGTAACTTGCCCAATATCACACAGCGAGAAAGTAGTGTTGATTGAGCTCCTACTACATGCCAGGGAATGAACATGCTGAGTAATGTGCCAGGTACTAAGAAGAGAGAAAAAGAAATGCTATCCTTCCAGCCCGGGCAACTTGGTGAGATGTCATCTTTACAATAAATCAAAAATTAGCCAGGTGTGGTAGCACGCACCTAGTTCTGGCTACTTGGAAGGCTGAGGTGGAAGGATCGCTGGAGCCCAGCAGGTCGAGCTTTGCGGTGGCCAGGAGTGGCCACTGCACTCCGGTCTAGGTGACAGAGTGAGACTCCAACTCAAAAAAACATATGAATAAATAAATAAATAAACAAAATCACCTTCAGGCAAAGTGAACTTTGTATAAAATACAAACAAGTCTGGGCTCCCTGGCTCACACCTATAATTCCAGCACTTTGGGAGGTTGAGGTGAGAGGGTTGCCTGAGCTCATGGGTTCAAGACCAGCCTGGGCAACTTGGCAAGACCTCATCTCTACAATAAATTAAAAAATTAAGCCGGGCTCGGTGGCTCAGCCTGTAATCCCGTGCCTTTGGGAGGCTGATGTGAGTGGATTGTCTGAGCCCGCGGGTTCGAGACCCGCCTGGGCAACTTGGTGAGACCTCATCTCTACAATAAATTAAAAAAAAAAAATTAGCTGGGCGTGGTAGCACACGCCTGTAATTTCAGCTACTCGGAAGGCTGAGGCGGAAGGATCGCCGGAGCCCAGCAGGTCGAGGCTGCGGTGGCCGGGAGTGGCCACTGCACTCCAGTCTGGGCGACAGAGTGAGACTCCAACTCAAAAAAAAAAAACAAATTAGCTGGGCGTGTTGGCACACGCCTGTAATTTCAGCTACTTAGAAGTTTGAGGCTGTGGCAGCTGCGAGGGTGTTACTGCACTCCAACCTGGGGGACAAAGAGACTCCAACTCAAATAATAATAATAACAATAATAATAATAATAATAATACAAACTAGAGGTTAGCCACAGTGGCTCATGCCTATTTCAATGCTCACAGCCAGCCCAGCATCAGCCTACTTGGCTCAGGTGATCCTTCCACCTCAGCCTTCCAAGTAGCCAAAAATATAGGCGCGCACTACCACACCCAGCTAATTTTTTGATTTATTGTAGAGATCAGGTCTCATCAAGTTGCCCAGGATGTTCTTGAACCCACCTTCTCAGGCAGTCTCCTCACCTTGGCCTCCCAAAATGCTGGGATTACAGGCTTGAGCCACCGCGCCCGGCCGGCTCCTGCCTATTAATCCCAGCATGTGGGGATGCCAAGGGTAGGAGAATTTCTTGAGCCCTGGAGTTTGAGACCAACCTGGGTAACACAGCAAGACCTTATCATCAGAAAAAATTAGCCAGGCATGGTGGCATGTACCTATAGTCATAGCTACTTAGGAGTCTGAGGAGGAAGGACTGCCTGAGTCAAGGAATTTGAGGCTGCAGTGAGTCATGCGCATGCCATTGCTCTCCAGCCTAGGTGACAGAGTGAGACCCTGACATAAAAAAAGAAAAAAATTTATAAAATGCATATTCAAATGTGTTATATATATTCCAATGGCAAACTGGAATTCTGTGAGCTGGGCCTAGGAAATCTACTAAATTATATACCGAGAGTCTTTTTCCAATTTCCAGGAAAAAAAATTGTGAAGAGACAGAAATGTCCCAATTTTAAGATTGTCTCTTGGCTGGGCGCGGTGGCTCATGCCTATAATTCCAGCACTTTGGGAGACCAAGGTGAGAGGATTGCCTGAATCCATGGGCTTGAGACCAGCCAAGGCAACTTGGAAAGACCTCATCTCTACAATAAATAAAAAAATTAGCTGGGCATGGTGGTGAGTGCCTGTAGTCTCAGCTACTTGGCAAGCTGAGGCAGAAGGATCACATGAGTACAACAAGTCCAGGCTGCGATAGCTGTAGCTTGCCACTGCACTCCAGCCTGGGCAACAGAGTGAGACTCCAACTCAAAAAAAAAAAA